CGGGATCTGTGAGTGTTTTTTGTACGAAGTGCCCGATAGGAGAAGAGAAACCCTGAAGGAGTGCATAAGAACATCAATTAGACCGGGTTCCATTATAATGTCTGACCCGTGGAAGTCCTATAGTGGGATAGAAGGAATGGTTGGAAAGGATTACTGGCATTGTACTGTAAATCACTCCAAAAATTTCGTCGACCATGAGACTGGTGCTCACACTCAAAAGAGTTGAGTCTATGTCCTAAAATCCTTAAGGATATAGTAGAATTTAGGCCATACGTAACTGGAGTAACTCATTAAAAGTATGTTAATGTTTTTGGTTATGTATAAAAAGTTCCTGTTAAATAAATCATACGTTTCTTTAACCTATATTTTTTAATTTATCAAGTAAGTAACTGCAATTTATCAATAAATATATAAGAAACTAGATAAAATAACTGGTGGGCCTAGTCTAAACAAGAATCTTTTTTCCTTCCACGACTTTTGCTTCCTCACTACCGAAGGTAGAGAAGCATTGTATTCGTGCGAGAGGTTAAAAAAAATTGTATGCTCAGATTCAAAAATTTTCACTCGCGTTTTAAATTTCAGATATCAAGGATCACATTTGGTTCGGTGTCTGTCTGTCTGTCTGTCTGTAGACAAATCGATGTAACGGGAATATCACCTACTATCGTTTATCCGATTTTCATGAAATTTTCAGAAATTGTGTGGGTTGGTGTCAAGATGGTCCCATATCCAATATTATTAAAGTCTAACAAACCGCGCAACCCCATTTTTGTAGATATGCCAATATTTCAGAAACTGCTCAATGTTAGATAAAACGTAGATATAAAACAATGTAACGTATATGAAAAATAATTTAGGATCATTTTTATTTAATTCTGTCCATTCCTTTCTCTAAAACTGCAAGTTCGATTTGGCACAAATTTGGAGGGGATTTAGGGGTTGATAAACGTAAAATGAAATAGGCATCAATTTTATCAAATTCTATCTACTACTGCAAAAAAAAAAAAAAACAATGCTTCCGCTTTTAGATCAGGAAATGTGTTATTTGACAGGCCTATAGTTTGAAAACGGCCCATTCGATTTGACCCAAACTTGGAGTAAATTTGGAGAACAGTATAGAAATTACTTAGTATCAATTTCATTTAATTCCATTTAATAATTAAAATTAATATAAATAATTGTTAACAATATAATGGCTGTTGAATGTACTGATCATATGGAGTGGGAGTTAGGTTATTACAATATTGTTATAGGATTATAAAAGTTTAGGTTTTATTTAAAAAAATGGTTGATACTGCATTGTTTGGTCAATTCCAATTTGAAAACAAAAAAAATACGTCTTATTTGTGGTTGTGTTTACTTCCATTGAAGTTCAACCAGTTCGTCTTGGTCTCGATTTCCTCCTTAAATATCGAAGTTGTGTCAACCATATTTTTATATTCAAGCTCAATAAGTTTTTTTCTGACTGAAGAAAAGTCTTGGTCTCGTTAACTCCGAACAAACAACAAGTAGAATTACCCCTATGGATTTTCTAGTTCCATCTATTTCACGAACTAAAAACGTACCTACTAAGTATATATCACTACTATTAGTGCAAAAGGTCGTACCTAAAATTTTTCAACTTTGATTATATTTGTGCTAAAGATGACATTTTGTAATCTGCAACTGATATAAGTAGTCTGCTACTACGGAAAATAGCAGAGGACTAAAAAATATGAAATTATACCAATAAAGCATAAAGAAATAATGAGTTTTTACATACGACCTTTTGCACTATCAGTAGTTTTTTTTTACATTAGTGAAATGCATGTTCAGTATGCATTGGTATTTTTTTTTTAATTAAGAATAATCAATATGGAATCTTCAAATACGGCACTCTTTCGCATTTTATTATTAGCAGATAAATTCGTGGATATCAAAGCCGCGAATGTTGAAGGGTAACTGTATATCAGAATCGGCTTCTCTCTGAGATTTTATTCTAATGCAAAAAATTGTATACCTTGTAATATAGATATATCTTAGTCAATGAAAACGGTGAGGAAGCTATACTGGTAGACGTTTTTTAATTAGTCTTTTATATATTCCCTTTTACATTGTTTTGGAATCTGTCCCTGTTTCAACCACATTGTCTTTGTAATCTGGGAGCCCAGAATTTGCTATTGGGCCAATCCAGTCCGAAATTATTTGTCCTTCACCAAAAACTAATTGAACCAGAATTTAACAAAAACTTGCACATACTATTTTCAAATAATCGTTAACAATCAGAAATTCAGATTAAAGAAAAATACAAATAATGAAATGATACAGAATGAGAAATTGGTGTAATTATGGTAATAGTTTTATAACTTATATACAGTTCCAGTAATGAACACTCAGGTATTCAAGGTGCTAACACAAATACATACATACTCTTGGTAAACAAAATGACAACACAGTGAGAGAAATGTTAGCGGGCTTGTGTTATGTAGAAATGTCGTCCTTTAATATTTAAAATGCCGAGCAGAAAAACAAATATCTGATGAAATATGTGACACATTCCACAAACTCGGTTTTATGTTCCTTCGTGTTGGCGGATTGGCCATGGAAGTACACTTCTACACGTTCGTACTCGCCATGATTTGGTTGTTGTGTTAACGCAGCTTAACGGAATCGAACTCGAGCATAAGGTAGGAATACCTCACGCCTACAATAATAATACTGACTGTGAGCTACTTATTTTATGCTGATACAATTCAAACTGTTGGTGGAGACGAATGGGACCATTTTAAACATTGAAGAGAAAGCGTTCCCACCATTCCAAAGAGATCGACGATTTTGCAATTATGATAAATAAATCTAAAAACCAAGATTTATTTATCTCAGTCAATTTCTTTCAACAAAATTAGGTCTTGTGGGAAAAAAATTGTGTCATTCTTAAATAGACTTAATTAAATCTTTTGAATTTTTAACTTCTCAATAAACTAGAATAAACTCTCTGATAGAATTAAATTATGTTAGAGATTGAATGTAATTCACAAAACAGGGAATCGAGTAGAAAAAAAGAGATATAAAGTCTGTAATTTGAAAAATCCTGAAGTAAAACCAAATTACAACCTGAGATGTGGAATAAATTCGAATCTTTGGACTCGGTGAACGCAGAAGCCTGCGAAAAGGCAGTAGAGGAAAGAAGAAAAATGAAAGTTCTCAGCCTAGCCACAACTACAGCCGCCAAGAAAAATGCAAACAAAATTAAAAGATTACAAAAAGGGAATTCTTCAAAGAAAGATTGCAAATCATTGAAGACAATTGCCAGGGTGAAGACCTGAATTTTATGCAGAAATTAGGAAAGAAACGGTAGAATATAAAGCGAGAATTACACAAATAAAAGGGGAGAATGGCATTCTGGGGGCATCCGAAGAAAATATATTGAGCATCTGGAAAGGAAATTTCCAGCAGCTTCTCAACCAAGGAGATTCCACGAGCGAAGAAGACTTGGACCACACTGAGAACATCCCGACCCAGAATAGGTTGAAAAAAGAGAAATACTGGATGTAGAAATAGCTGTCGAAAGGCTTAAAACAAAAAAGGTCCCAGAGATGTCTACCACCGGTACTGTTTAAAGATGGGCGAGGCGACTTAAGAGCCAAGCTACTACAACTAATACAGAAAATATGGGAGAAGGAAGGGACACCAAAGGCTTGTAATACGAGCCTAATCTGCCCTATCCTAATCAAAGGCTCCATGTATGAATGTTGTAATTAAAGAGACATGGCACTCCTTATGGTTGTCTACAATGACCAATATTCTACTAAATAATATATATATCCATATTATGAAAATATAATAGGCGACCACCAAGTTGGATTCAGAAAAAGCAGGAGCACGCTAGACCTGATCTCCATAATAAAAACGGTATTAGAAAAACGATGGAAAGTAGCTCAGAAAGTCTACGCGTTATTAGTCGATATCAAAGCAGCCTACGATTCACTGCACAAGAACTGTATATAGAAAATCATGACTGAAATGGGAATTTCCGGTAAGTTGGTGAGATTGACAAAAGCGTGTACAAATGACCCTAAATGTTAAGACCTAATACAAGAAGAATTTTCTGATTTCGAACGGGTTTACGGCAAGGAGATACTATTACCGATGCTGTTCAACTTAGCGCTGAAGGGTCCAACGAAAAAGGAGGGTCCACATCAAAAAATCCTTGATAGTTGATACAACTGTTCTTCAATCAAGAGGACATTGAGAAACTCGTAGAGACTGTGATAAAAGAAGCAGAGTAAACTGAAAATTCCACCCCAATAACGGGATCTGCGTAGAATGGAAATCGTTCCCAAGAATAGAAAATTTCAAATAACTCGGCACCATAATAACCTCAATGACTGACCAACTGTCGGAAACAGACCGATATATAATAATCGCAAACAGATCATTCTTCTCCCATTCAAAGGTATTGAAATCCCGAAAAATCTCAAATTAACAGTGTACGATGCTATTATAAAGCTAGTTCCATAATTTACATATAACTGCAAAACCTCGACACTAACCAGTGCTCTACAAACAAGTATTGAAAGATTTGGGAGAAAAATCCTCCACACGATAACCAGAGCGATCTAGGATCAGAGTGCTAACACACGGAGAAAGACCAATAAAGAGTCGCTTAATCAATCAGAAACTGGTTAATCAATATCTCATTATATGAAGATACGGAGGTTAATGCAACGAATACCTCAATTGTAGGCGAAATACCATGTGGAAGAAAAAAATGTAGATGATTAGATCGAATCAACAAAGATGCAACAGACCTGCATGTAGATAACTGGAAAGAAATATCCCAAGAGAGGCAGAGATGGAGTAGGCTTGTTAAGCTAGCAAAAGATCTACAATGTCCGTAATGCCAACAGGAAAAAAAAAACAATGGTAAAAAGTTTATTAATTTATAGATAGAAGAAACATTTAAAATAAAGAAATGCTAATCTGTTAATTTAAACAATATGGAAACAACAAAAGAAAATAATATGAAAATCATTTCACATTTATTTTTGCCAAATAAATCACGTCCCCCTTACCATCCATTAACTCTGAGCAATATCTTCTAAAGGCCTCTTATGTAATTACTAAACAACTTTTTTTCAATGAAGGTTGACGACATTTTGAACTGTTACGAATTAACAACTATACAAAATACGTGTTTGTCAAGAGCAACAATTAATATTCGGAAACTGTCCTGATACGCCTGATAATTCTACACTATTCAAATTGGTTCTCTGTCTGTCAACAGATTGTTCAGGTAACATTCACAGCCGGCATGTTCCTTCTCGTTCTTTTCTTCTGTCCGCCACTTTTCTTTCATTTTAGTGAAATTCCTTACCAGTTGGAAGTTACCACGTATAGGTTTCTCATTTGATCTAGAATGCTTTGAAACGTCTCTTTCATTCATTTTATTCTTTTCAGATAATTTCATGCTTTCAATATAATAGTGATTATTTAATACTTTTGTAAGCTTTCCATCAACATCTGTAGTTATTGCTCGTATATTCCCTTGTAGAACGCCCTGCAAACCATCAAAAGGATCATCTTTATTTAACTCATCTCTTCTTTCTTTCAGATACTCACTTTTAGATGTAGTGCTATTCGTTCTTTGCAAAGCCAACGATACCCGCTTGTAATGCTCCCCGACACTACTCGAAATGTCTCTGTGATTCCTTATTATTTTTTTATTAACGGCTGAACTATTTTTCTCTTCGGCGGTTTGCGGTTCGGTGGTCTCTGTATTGCTATTAACTTCATCAACAGTTTCATCTCTGTTCATAAAACTTATTGTTGTAGGAGAGTTGGTTGTTACTTCTAATTCCTTCAAAAAGGTCGTTCCTGGACTGGAATTCTTTCGCTGGTTGTGCTTCTCGATTATTTCATCAATGCCCCCAGGTACCACATCCTTGATCTCTGTAAGAAACCCGAATGGAATTTTTCTTACACTATTTTTAGTTAGCTCATATTGTACATTAATATTTTTTCTTGAACTATTTGGACCCAATGACTTTACCAAGTTATCATCAATAACTTCCACAGGTTCTCTTATATCTTCATTTGAATCTGTGGTCGGTGAATTATTTTTTAGCTTCATTAATCTGGTGATAAGTCCTTGCATTGATGAATAATCTGATAATGATCCCATACCTTTTCCACTAAAATTATAATTCACATGTTCCCTAATACTATGTTTCTCTAAAATATTCTTCGCCATATCTTTCTTACTTTCGAAATGCCTGAAGAAGCTATAATGTGAATCACAGTGTTTTTGTGTATATGTATCTCCACTCTCATTGGTATCATCAGCAAAAGAAACTTTTTTTTTAGCTGGATTCCCAGCATTTTTACATTTTCTATTTTCTAAACTATGTAATTTCTTAGAATTCTCCAGTAATCTTCCCAATTCCTCTTGATTTCCTGCATTTTTCGACTTCAGAAACAAGTTAAACAGCTGAGGAACTTCATCTGCGACACAGCGATCGTTAGATTTCTTATTTTTTCCATACTTTGGACATTGGGATTCGGCAGCACGTTTCGTCGTGTTTCGGTTAGTGGCCTTTTTTATCAATTTCAGCAATGTATAGCACCATCGCCGGTCTGATTTCGTGAAATGTTTGCGCTTCATATTAAAAAGAAAATTGTTATAAATATTTTATGTGTCCTTACTTGATAATATTGCTCGTGTGTATATTATCCAATATGATGACATAAAGTACTCTTCTACTGGGTTTCAACGGATTCGGTGGAGGGAATTACGTAAGGAACATGGTATCGACACCGATCCGAGATTACTAACCCTTATTACTTCATGGCAAGTGATAAACTTAGTTTGTAGGTGTGTGTAATTTCTCCCACCTAAATTTTGAACTGTTGAAAGATCATTTGTCTTAAAGTGACGTATAGTGTGTTTTTAAAATTAAATTATTAACAAACACCTGACTAAATATTGTTACAACAAATATCACTAAAATTATCAATCGATCACAGAGAAGGGTAGAACTGAAAACATAATTACACATCCGGCAGTCTAATAAATTACAGATTATTTTATGCTTTACCAAGAAAAACAAGAGACTATATCATAATTTTCTAGCTATTTAAAAAAATTAGTAGGTACTTAGTAAGTCAGAAGCCTAAATAACTGTTCTCTTTTTTGTTTTTCTTAAATCTACCTCGAGAAGCTTTAATATTTTTTTTCTTTTAGTAGTTATCTAACTTAAGAGATAAGGGTGGATACATATAAAACCAAGTCGAAACGTTAGATAAGAAGTCATTTTGTGAAGTGGTAAATATCGCTAATGGTTTGAAAAGGTGTTTCAACTGACGGTCACTAGAAAAAAAATGTCTGACTTCCAAGAGGAAATTTCAGTAATTTAAGGAAAGATCGCTTACTGAGAACGTAGTACGGCGCCGCCAACCTCACACATTGATCGAAATATGATATTTTAAATGAATTTCTTGGAGAATACCACGAGATGAATCTCGAACTTCCCACATTAGTTAGAATAGGTTGGTTACCTGTAGGGTAACTATATTTCTAAATAAACATTTAAAATGGTACATTACTTTGAGAAAACATAGGCTCTTTTCTAATGGGAGACATCTCATTGGATTCAGAAAGAAAAAAAATGTAGCGATCGGTATATTACTAGCATTATATTTTACAGATATCCCGCCCTATTGCGGCCTAATAGCGCGTATTACAATTATTAATAAAAGTGCAATTATTAATAATATTATTATAAAAGCAAGAAATATTGCACGGGTGCATTTCTCGACATAGCTCAAGTGTTTAACGGGCACTTTCCGGACTTCTTTCCAAGCTGAAAAACGATCTACCCCAGTTCTTGTACCTAATCCTCCGCTCCTACCTCTTTGATCGCACCTTTCGAGTTCGCTGTGGTACAGAATTTTCCAATTCCTACCCAGTTGAAGCCGGTGTTCCTCAAGGTAGCATCTTTTGCTCCGTCCTTTATATCCTTTTTGCCGCTGATATCCCTGTCCACCCCGATACCTTCCTGCCAACATTTGCTGATGACACCGCCATCCTACCATCCAACTCAGATCCGGAAATAACATCCTTAAAAGCAACGAATCTAAATGCAAACACATTATCTTCACGCTCCGGCCCAGATTCTATTATCGCTGTAATTCCATCCAGCTTGCTTTTTCAGACATAGTCTGGTATCTTGGCTTTCTCTTAGACCGAAGACTAATGTGGAACCCACATACTAGACTTAAAAGAACTTAACACACGATACGGCCAATTATACGGACTACTGACTAGAAAATCTCAACTTTCAATTGACAACAAATTACGGATTTACAAGACAATCCTGAAACCTATTTGGACCTACGGACTTGAACTTTAGGGGACAGCAAAATTTTCCAACATCAAACACATCCAATCCTTTCAGTCCAAAGTCTCCGAACAATAGTCGATGCTTCGTTCTATGTAACCAACCCTGCATCATGACATTTATTTCCCATTTGTCCTAGACCTTATCCCTGAAAAAATTTAAAATTCCATCAGAACCTTGTAAATCATCCAAATCCCCTTGCACGATCCCTATCTAGTTCCACTCATCCCTACAATCCTCCTCGAAGGTTGAAGCTATAGTGGCCCAAAGATCTTTTGTAGTATAAACCTTGGAGCCCTGGCAATGGCCAGATTCTCCACTCAAGACATGAGTGTATGTGGCTAATCTCCACTGTCTTTAGCACCAGTGACACGGTTGAGATAGTAGCGCAGAGATCTCTTTGAGTCCTGCTTTTCTCTTTATAGTTGGAGGGACAAGGGTGGATTCCCTGCCTGATTGTATATAGGTATGTCTGTGTTTTTATGTTATAATTTACTTATCTTCAGGTTGTTTTATTTCTTATTGTACATAGTCTTTGATTATTATTTAGTTATTGTTTTACTTTTGTTAATTTTATGTGTTCTGTATGTATGGTGTCAATTTGTTCATATCTCACTATAATTATTGTCCACGTGACAGATTATTATATTTCTAAATAAATAAAAAAACATTTAAGAATGAAATTTCCACATTCTTAATTTATGTCTTCGTTCAAGAGCTGTGGTAGAAAGAAAGATACAAAGTTAGTCCTTTATAAGAAGTCCGAGGTTGATGAATAGATATTCGTCAAACTTATAAAGTTAACGAAAAAGATCAGATAACCTAAATCTATAATTTCTGTTTTTGTGAGTTTTTGTCCATCAACAACCTTCAACTCTTTTAAAATATTAAATCTTCCTTACCGTCTCATTATATCGATTTAGTATGATTGCTATAAAAACTCTTGTACCCAACAAAAAAGTGAATGTTGGCTGTAAAGCTGTATTAATTAAATAAAAATGTTTTGTAAATTTCAATATTTGTTTAAATGTTAACAGTTATAAAAGATAAAATGACGAGGTGGTTTATGTTTTTTTAAGTGTAATTTTTATTATTTTTATGATCTACTAGTAGTCCTTCGAGAAAATTTTCATTTTTTTAACGTGTGACAAGCCATAAAGTGTAAGAGTTCGATTATAAAAAAAAATTCTCTCCGTTACCTTCTACAACTTTATTTATTTGATTTTACATCTAAGGCATATAACTATCTTAAATACGTAATATCAGTTTCGTACTTTTCATTTTTAAGCTGGAATATTTACATAAATACAGACCATTTTGTGTGACTTGGTTATTTGGACTCAAGGGAACTGGAAGCGTGTATTTCCGTTGAAAACTCGGATTCAAAAATCGCAATACTTTCCCTTACTATCACTAGCGGATCCATGATTTAATTTTGGGAGGGCTTCAGCCCGAAAGGTTTTTTTTTCATATACATATACCGATAATTAATTTGAAAAAAAAAAGAAAGAAATTAACTACCTATATGAAATGGTGTTTAAGTGGTTCTTGAAGTCCTATTAAATGTAATTAAACGAACAAGAATACTTTAAGAGATAGTTTTTAATGTTTTTTTCTGTAAAGCATGGTTATATTTTACCATTTTGGGGGGGCTTCAGCCCAAAAGCTCCCCCCGTAGATCCGCCTGTACATATATTGGTAAATGAAAGTAAAAATTTCTGTTGATTTCTTATGGTAGCTCCAATCTATCAATTTTTTGTAATAGGAAAAACCTGGTGCGGTGCGCGCATCACACAAATTTCACTTACCAGGCTTAGCGGAAAATATTTTTTTTATAATAAACCAGATTAAAATGCAGATATTTTATTTAAAAGTTTAAATACAAGTAATGAAAATGTATTTTTAATAAAAAGAAAAAAAAAATCTTTATTTTAGAAATAGAAACATATTTTATTCTTTAAAGAAGACTTTTGATATATTAACATTAAAACTTATTAATCATTCAATTAAATTTATTAAAGCTTAACTGATCAAAACTTTAAATTACTATACTGTTTATTGAGATTACAAAGAATCAAAACACAATAATGCTCTATGGCAGAAAGAATAGTAATATGTTCAAGCCCAGACTACAAAATAAGTTAAGGTAAAAAAAATATTCTGTAAAAAACAGCTTATCTTTATATTAAGTATTTCTTGAAAATTATCTCTAAGCTCTTATTTTCTTTCATTTTTGTTGCTCTTTCCATTACATTACATCTATTTTCGATTAAATTCTCTTAGCAAAGTATTTTTTAAAAGGCTTTTTGGGTAGTGTTAGTTTAGGTTGCTTTTCAAGATTTGAAGTATGCCAAATCAATTTTTTTACTGAATTTTCAGGCAACAGTTACAAAGCCTTCTAATCTTGCGAGGCATCAATTCGTAAGTGTGATTTTTAATTAATAATAAGTTTCTTTACATTGGGTTTCCTTGATAATCAGAGCATAGCATAAACGAATTGACACCTACTAAGTCAACGGTTTAGCAAATGTTTCCTGTGCCTTGGATATATTGTAGTTTTTCAAATAGAAATCACAAGAGAAAGGATAGAACCTGATAAACTCCTTTTTTAATGAATGGGAAATAGAATAGACTAGCGATTCTCAGGCCATGGGTAATACGTAGTGAGGTAGTGAATAACTCAAATTTTCCTCTATTGAATTCAAATACTAGATAACCCTAAAAATATTATAAACCCCAATCTAAGAGAAAACATTTCAGAAAAAAATACTTACAATAAGGCATATACAATAGTCTGTGCATATACCAAAGGAAACCACTTCATATATTTATTTTATAACTCAAAAACTATACATTACCCGAAACATTCAAGATGCTCATTTGAAAGATAACAAAATTTTCTAATAGTTAAACTTAAAAAAAAAAAGAATTGGGCTAATATGAGCAAAGATACAAACAAACTTTCCATAATATAATGAGGGGTCAGCAAACTATTCACCCAAAGTGGTAAGGTGTCATGTGAGTGATGAGTGTATACACTGATACTAAAATTATGACAGTATGAATAGGATTATAATTATTAAAACATTTTAAATAAATCTTTTATTTTTAATATTTACAATAGAAAGGAGCAAAAATAAACAAGATAATAAATAATGTTTATGAAAGATTTTTTAAAAAATTATAATAAAACAATTATTTCATTATATACAGATAAAAGCTGTAATGACTATTGTGTAACTAAGCATTTAACACTGATTTTTTATAGATAGATGAAAAGAGATAATTCAAATCAGAAAAGAATAGGTCATTTATTTCCTTTTTTCTTTACATATTCTTGAAGTCCCCTGATCCCTCGAGTATCAGAATATCAGGATTTTCTTTTTCAAAGTCACTTGGTTCACGTTCTCGTTCTTCAGCACCCCATTCGCCAAAGCAGCCTTTCATTATATCTGGTTGCTTCTTTCTCTCCTCTTCCTCTTTCTGCAAGAGGAAAAAGCCTCTTACAGCAACATAACAATAAATAAAAGCAAATAAAACCATTAAATTGACCATTATTTATTTTCCGTGTGACCATAAATAATATTTATTTAAGAAAAGGAAATAATTTTGAAAATGGTCTTCACAAATTTGAGTCAAAACTAAAATATGCATGCAAAATCACAATTATATACTACTAAATTAAGTTTGCATAACCCTTTGACTGTGGACCGCACACATGTCTTCCCGTTAAGAGTTGCGGCATTGATGCTGGCGGGATATATGCCATCCCGGTAGTGAGTTGGAAAACTGGTTCGGCCCGGGATATATGCCCTTCTGCCTGGGCGGTCACTACTTAAACAGGTAGGGACAATTCCCGCCTTCATCATTTTACTTGTGGCTTAGTCGGTACATTCATTCGTCCTTTATTGCTGACCAGTTGCAGATTTATTCTGAACCCAAGGTATGTCCTTTCTCTGTTATTTGTGTCATATCCATGATCTTATTTGTATTGTATTTAAATGTTTTATACATCAAATAAATGTTAATAAGTTAATTTTATTATTTTTTTGACTGAATACTGATTTTAGTACAAGTGAATCTCTGTCTACTAAACAAATAAATTTAAGTTATCTACATTATATATATATATATATATATATATTTTTTTTTTTTCGGTTGGCACTGCAGACCAGCTCAGATAGCCTGGAAGGGGTCACCCAACCTCACGTTGCTACGAACCATGGTTTCCATGGTGCAGCGGCAGGCCACCCATAGCTCCATAGCCGATCCCCTTTGGGGCCAATCTGGCAATGTCCTTCTCACCGACTTTCTCGGGTTCAAGGACAGTGACAAATCGGTCTAGATTCATGGATTATGGCTGCTCGGAGTCAGCAGGTGCACGAGGACCTATAATTCTTTCCCCAAAACTGACCGCCCATTGACCGAACCTTATTAACATCCTGGTAGAGCACATCCCGATTCCCGAATAAAGTACACGGGATAGGGTCATCAGTCCTACGCCCGATCGGTGTGAGTTGCCTCCTGTAGGATGAGTAAAGTACTAACCACGCTCGACATTGCTTAACTTTGATTACCTATTGCAAGCGCCTTAGCCCATACGGCTAACCCAGCCCATATATATATATATATATATATATTTTGTACTTGTATATATGTGTGTGTGTGTGTGTGTAAATACATACATATAATGTAATAAATAAATGTAAAAAAGTACAAAAATTAAAATGTAATAAATAAATGTAAAAAATAGAAAAATTAAAATGTAATAAATAAATGTAAAAAATACAAAAATTAAAATGTAATAGTAAAAATTAACAAATGCAAAAATATACAGATGGGATATACAAATGGGAAAATGATAAAATTGCATCAATAGAAAGCCTCAGGTTTGATAATCAGATCAGAAAATTCTATCAGGAAGTTAATACGGGAAGGAAGCTATTCAAGCCAAGGCTTACTGCCTGCAGAGTCGAGGATGGATCCCTCCTAACTAAATCAGGTCAAATATTGGCTAGATGGAAACAGTATTTTGATGACCTCCTGAATGGCAGTCCTGGGATGTGGTGTCAGAGGAGTTCTGTACAAGAAAAGGGGTAAGGTAGGGAGACTCGTTGGCCTGCCTCCTGTTCAATGTGACACATGAAAAAGTTGTCAGAGAAATGCGCAAATTCAGCTGGATAGGACCATATTTAACAACATGGTCGACGATATTGATATCATCGGGAGACCACTTCGCAGAGTAAAGAAGGCTTTTCTGGATCTTGAACAGTCGGCGCGGAAGATGGGACTATCTGTAAATGAGAGCAAAACCAAGTATATGGTTGCTGGCATAAATACACAACATCCACAAATCTCGATAAGTGACTACACAATCGAAACGATCCAACGATTTGCTTATCTGGGTTCCCAAGTAAATGCCCACAATGATGTATCAGAGGAAATATGTAAGAGGATCGTGGCAGCAAATAAATGTTATTTTGGTCAGCGGTGGTATCTAAGCAATCGCTTAATCTCCAGAAAAACAAAAGCGAATCTGTACAAGACGCTGATTTGTCCTGTCCTCACATATGGAGCGGAAAAGTGGAGCTTCTCCAAAACAGACGAAAACAGGCTATTGGTCTTTGAAAGAAAAGTAATACGTCGCATTTATGGACCAGTGGGCTCAGGTACTGGTCAGACAATTGGAGAAGACGGAGTAATGCAGAACTGGCCGCCATACATAATGATAAGAATGTAGTCCGGTTCATTAGAATACAGTGTTTGAAATGGGCGAGTCATGTAGCTAGAATGGATGAGGATAGCCCAACCAGAAAATTTTTGCTGATGCATGCAGGAAGAAAAAGAAGAGTTGGAAGACCTAGATTGCGCTGGATGGATGGGGTTGACGCGGATGGTAGAGCTCTTTTTGGACTAGCTAACTGGAGGAGAGCAGCAAGAGAGAGAGAGAGACCAGTGGGTGAAACTGATTGAGGAGGCCAAGACTCAGCGATGAGTTGTAGCGCCCATGAAGAAGAAGAAGAAAAATATACAGAATTAAAATAATACTTTTTAATAAAATTTATAACAGCACTATTTTCAATATTGAACTTTTTTAGGTAAGAAAAAAATTTGTAAATACAATTCGAATCCCGCCGTCAGTAGCCTTTTTTAGAAGTAATATAATTTAATTTTTATGATCACTTACAGTTATTATTATGATTATTATAAGTTATTTTGCTTTTCAAAAATAAGCAAATACGCAGGAAAATAAAGTGTTGCGAGATAGCCGTTCTAATTTTGTATTGTCATATACGGCCGGGAAGGCATATATCCCATTTTTAAAAGTTGAATATATATGTTAAAATGATTTTTTGAAACCTAAGATCTTGCAGGGTGACTCAAACTAGCATTTTAAACAAATTTATGCAAAAAAAAGAAATCTGTTTTTTTGGACGTCTTTGCAGTTTTCAGGATGGTAGAAACGTATTGTAGAAACTCACGAATGAGCATCCGCAGTCAAAGGGTTAAATAACATTAATGTGTACTTGTGCTTTATATAAATATTTATAAATTAAATCTAACATTAATACATATTTTAAAATCAAATTTAGTATAAATGTGTAGACAAAATATAATGAAAGGTGTCTGCAAGCATAAGCTCTGTTCTTTTTATTACAAATAAAAATAAACAAAAGCAACAATCAATTAATAGTTTATTTCTAAAATACAATCAATAAAAAGTCTAAAAATTGTAGAAGCCTCAGTTTATAAGGTTATAAGCTTGGTGTAATACTTTTCTGATAAATTTGTACTTAATAATTTTAAGATCAGCAAATACAGGGATACAAAATACTGAGCTAAAATTTATCCAAGCAACAGTGGTCTAAACTGTTATACCAATAGTTCTTTAACAGTTCAATAGAGGAAGGGCAAATTATTAGATGGGATCTCCAACTCACTAGAGAGAATTAGCTCAGCCTCGAGTCTTAATTCTGTGCATGCTGAGGGTTTAGAAAAGTAGAGGCAACTCGATCAAGAGTAGCAGAGGATTGTAATAAACTAATTCTCTAAATGTGAAAGTGTTCCAACCCATCTTGATTTTCCATTTGTCATAGGAAAATCATAGGGTAGTTGCAAAAATCCCAAGTACAGCAAGAATATTAAGAGTCAGCTTAATTCTAAACTATTTCTGCAGAAAAAGAAACAAAATTCTGCTACAATCAGACAGGTTTTAAATACTCTGTAACAGTCAATGTAGGCGAAATAAAACAAATATAATTTGATAATTTGAAGATGAACAAATTACCAACTGCTAGATCTTGCAGATTATTATACCTTTACCAGTGGTGATCTAACTTAAAAAATATTGACATCTATATTTTTACTGGAAAAAGGAGGTAATGTAAAATACTATTTTTTTTTTTAAATATAAGTTGATCTTTAATAAGTATTGATATTTTTAAGGATGAAAAATGGTCAGGATGTGCAATGAAAAAATTAAGTTTATTGAGTTTGCCGACATTTGATATACAGATAGTTTTGCTTCTAGAGCAGAAACGACAACAGTCTTGAAATTAGGCTTATTAAGAAAGGTCACTGTTCCAGCAAAGGTGCGATTTGTTAGTGTAATACTTTACCAAGAGTATGGTTTGTGTACATTGGCTAGGACTACATATAACCTTTGTGAACTAGACTGCCATACTACTGGGCAATGACAATACACCTCTCTCTCTCTCTCTCATTCTATAGCCAATAATGCTTATCATGCCACTTTGAAAAAAAATTGAAACAAGATTGATTAGTTTAATTAAAATACATCTGATCGAAGACCAGTTAAAAAAGTCTACTGATTGTTTTTGTTTTTTTAATTATTGAACAAAAATATAATTTATGGTAGTAATAAAAGTAACTATTCAGTTAAGAAACAAAAATAACTAACAGACCACAACTAATTAACACAGCTAACCTTTTTGCTTAAATGAGATACTAAAGTAATTTGTTAAAAACACACAAACAAAAAGCAAAACAAAGAAAATTATTAAAATAGTTTTATGTTCATCGATTTTTAAAAAGAACTGGATAAAGCACTGTGTGCCTTAGAAATGGCCGGATTACTCATTCACCTTCCCTCACTACTAGTAGGCAAGAGCCCCCTCTTGGTACTGAGTCATCCTTATTATCAAGCTCTATATTGTGTTAAACTTTTACTTTTTCGCCTGTATTAAAGTATTTTACAAATAATAATAAATTATTATTTCATTTACATAATCATGAATGGATAAATATACTGGTATCAAGAAAAGAAATAAATGCAACAGGAACACAAGCTATTTCATTATTTTTTAGTAATTACTGACAGTGCACATAAATATAACCATAAACAAAATACATAAATATGTATGTACACATAAACTGTCTATTCTATGTAACTTACTATCTAATACAATGCAATAATTTAGCTTAAAAAATTCTATTCTATCTGTTTTTGACAGACACCAGCT